TAGCTCCGGGGTTAGTATTACTCCCCTGCATTGGCTTAGCCTCTGAGCTGCGGGTCTGCTTATGGCAACATCAACACATCCAGCAATCATCCAGGTCTCCTGAAAAAGGCCATCAATGCTGTGTGTTATGAGCACGCAGGTCCATTGTCTCCTGCAGACCCAGGGCCACAGCTTCTGCGACTCAGGAAGACACACACAGGCAAGGTGAGATGCACCAGAGAAGGTCTGGAACTGAGAAGAGGACAAGGGGAGGATGGAAACACAGAAAAGAAGAGGGAGAGGAAAGGGGAGAGGAAAGGCAGGCCCGGTGGTGGGAATGGGGAAAGCTCCCAGCCATCTGGACCCCCTAAGCCCTAAGTAGCTCCTCTCTAAGGGTTCTCAACTCTTTGGGAACCAGGACCCCTTTGCAAATCGCTTTAAAAAATACACATGCACACACATGTGTACCATTTTGCCCACAATCCCGGGCGGGGGGTTTCAGAAGCCTCCAAGGAGTCCTATCCTTCCTTTCCTGACCACCAATCTGAAACTTCAGCCATATCATGGTTCTTCAGGGCTGCTCTTCAAGGCAGCAATATTGAAACAGGGAAGAGAAAACTTGAGAAAGTAGGAGGCAGAGTGGGAGGGTCTAAGCAGAAAGGAACAAGTATAATCATGTTGCTTTGTCTTCACATACTAATTTCTCCTTTAAATCATTGCTTCAGAAACTGACTCAAACAGAAAAAGTGAATAAAATCACAAGTGCCCCCAGGCTAGCTAGCTATATGATAGATGATAGATAGATAGATAGATAATAGATAGATTGATAGATAGATAATAGATAGATAGATGATAGATGATAGATAGATAGATAGATAGATAGATAGATAGATAGATAGATAGATAGATAGATACATAGATAGATACATAGATAGATAGGTAGGTAGATAGATAGATAGATAGATAGATAGATAGATACATAGATAGATACATAGATAGATAGATAGATACATAGAGAGAGAGAGAGCCCTTCTCTCCCCCACAGAAATACACTGGCAGGTCTGGACTCCCTTTTCTTCCACAGCAGGACCCTTATAATCACCACAACTTGAAGAAAATCCATGAAATGTCCATTTGCTCTTAGGAAAAAATTCCAAACAGACAAATTTCTCAAAAGGCGATGATCAGATACCTCTGTCTAGCCAAGATGTTTTGTCCGCCTGCTTCTCCCAGTTGCAATCTGTCACCATGTAGGAATTTTCCATCCCCCCAATGTAATGTCATGCAGAAGACTCAAAGGGAAGGGTAAAAGGATTAGTAGATTGATCGATGGAAGATATTAATGCTCTTTCATGTCGGGTTGAAGAAGGATTTGAGGTCATCAGGAGAAAGGGTAGCAGGAGAATAGACCTCAAGTATTCAAAAGACTCTCTGGATTAAAATCCTATTAAACTCACATCAGCTTCTCCAGGAGGCATTTTAGAAGGTTGAGGTTTCTTTAACAGGTCCCATAATTAACCTTCCCTTAAGCTGTTTTGGGTGGGGAACTTAAGCAATTAAGAAACTGAAAACTTTCATTTTCTATCACCCACATGGCCTTTTGAACAGGTTTAAAAATGGGAGTGGAAAGTGGTTTAGCCTAATTGATTTGAGGGGTTCAGATCTCCCACTTCAACCTGCTGTCAGACTCACCCCTGAGATCTGAGCCCCTCCATAAAAAGGGCATTTTGTCAAGTGAAAGAATCAAAGGTTTGGGTTTATGATGATGCTTTTCTTCCTCTAATCATTCTCCCACTGAGTTTGTGGAAAAAAACAAGCCTGCAAAGGGATGGCTCTTTTCCCTATAAAGATCTGTTTCTGGGCCCAGACTCCAGTTCATAAAAACTGCCCCAGGAACCCCAAGAGCCCTTCTCATAGCAGGTGCAAGGATGAGTTGTTTTGGCCTCCCTGGTAGCTGTTCCATTACATAGATGTCAAGGTCAGGGAACAGTTCACATGGGGGTGGCCAGTATGGGATGAAATGACACCAACCATCTGAAGAAATAAGGGTCATAAAACACGTGTTGATTTAAAAGGTTAGTCTTAGTGTTTTTGTCACTAGGTAGAATGTCAATCCAACTTCAAACGTCAGCACTGTGCCAACTTCCATCAGCCTCGTCTCCCTTCCAGAGCCTGTCCGTCTACTGTGCTCACCTGGGTGTCTCGTCGTCCCTGTCAGCCTGTGAGCTCCTTAAGAATGGGCAGAGTTGACCTTCTGTCCCTCCAGCTGCTGCCACAGTGCCTGACCCAGCATAGCACTTGTGCCTTAAGGCAAGTCATGGCCTCTGTTTTTTATGATGAAAAATTAAGAAGTCTGTCAGGCTGCATGACCCCTGAGGTCACTTTCCAGTTCTCAGAATCTCTGAAAACATAGTTGCGGACAGCGTGCCTTTTCATGGCTCCTGTGCACAGGCCATTATTTGTAATAACAATGATGATAATGGTAAGAATAGCAAACATCGATTAAGTCTTTAAACATGCCCTGCACTGTTGTCTCCGCTCCACTGGTGGTATTTCATCAGTCCTCTGAGGCAGCGACTCCGGTCACTCTCCTTTGATACAGTGGGAGGTGGTGACAGTCAGTGATCTGCCCAAGGTCACACCAAGTGTGGTGCGCCATGGTTCCAAAGTCTGGACTGCTAACTATCCTTCCACAGCCCCATTAAGAACCTCCTTTCTGAGCCTCCAGTTCTGGCTGCCAGCCCGTAAGCAGATCAACATACATCTTCCGTGGCTCGCCAAAGGGCTGCCTGCCTGTCAATTGTTCTGATTTCCTACCGCAAGGCCCCAGCTGCTCCAAGCAGGGGCAGGCTTGCCCCAGGATCCGACAGGCCCTTTGTCCTGCAGGCCTGCAGCTCCTGTTGGGAGCAGGTGGCTGGAAAACAGAAGGCCGTCACCAGAGAAGCAGCTTGGGAGGCAGAAGGGGAAGGAAGGCAGACAGGGCTGATCTGAAGTGGAACTCCAAGTGCCGGCCCCTGGTGAGCACAGGGGCATTGCTGTCAATACTCAGCAAGGGCAGAGCCCTGAGATGGTTTTCTGAGTCTTGGTTACAGCCACATGAGGACAGGGCAGGAAAAAAGGAGAGATGTCCTAGGAAGGCCTTGGGTGTGTTTTAGAATGTTTCAATCATCTGTGCAGAGATGGGTCCTTGTATCATTTTAAAGTGTATCTGCCTATTCAAATGCTCTTTGCAGTTACAGAGCCTGAAATCATCTTGACCTAAAGTCTTCAGTGTTCTGGCAAAAACTTTTGATTTTACAATGGAAAAAAATGTGTTATATTATTTAGGAAAAAAATAGTTTATCTCAGCAATTGTACTCCTAAGTATTTACCCAAATGAGTTGAAAGTGCATGTCTACACAAAAACCTGCACATGAATGTTTACAACGGCTCTATTTACAATCACCAAAATCTGGAAGCAACCAAGATGTCCTTCAGTAGGTGAATGGATAAATAAAATATGGTATATCCATAAGATGGAACATTATTCAATCATCAAAAGAAATGAGCTATCAAGTCACAGAAAGATATGAAGGAACCTTAAATGCATGTTGCTAAGTGAAAGAAAACAGTCTAAAAAGACTGCATACTTTATGATTCCAACTGTATGATATGCAGGAAAAGTCAAAATCATGCAGTAGTGAAAAGAACAGTGGCTGCCCCAGGAAGCAGGTATGGCAGGAAGTAGAACATAGGGCGTTTTTAGGACAGTGAAACCATTCTGCATGAGACTGTAATGGTGGATATGTGACATTATGCATTTGTCAAAACCAGTAGAACTGTACAATATAAAGCACAATACCAGTATAAACTGTGGACTTTTATTTAATACTAAGGTATTGATATGGTTCATCAATTATAAAAAAGGTATCACATTAATGCAAGATGTTAATAAAGGGATAAGTGGGGCCCTTTAGTGGGGTAGAAAGGATATATGGGAACTCTGTACTTTCTGCACAGTTTTTCTGCAAAACTAAAACTGCTTTAAACAATAAAAAGTCTATTTAAAAAAGAGTTCATTTGAATATGCTTTGGACCCTGAAAAGCAATCATCTTGTTCCTCTGTATTCTTTTTAGGCTAACCATAATCATAACAACCACAATACTACCATTTACCCAGTTGGGCTGCTCTAAGTACTGTTTAGGTGTGATACCATTCAATCCTCACAAAAGCCCAATGAAAAACTGAGGTCAGAGCAGTTAAAGGACCTTGTCGGGGGTCTCAAAGCCAGTAAGTGGGAGAAACAGGACTTGCTCCAAAGGCTGCCCCATGCAAACCCATACTTATAATTCCTATAGTCCCTTGCCTTACTCCCCTCCCAGGCACTTCAGTAAGCAGATAAGGGGCAGAGCAAGTCTTGACAGATATAGTCATTGGTCCATGAACATTTGCTGAGCATTGTGTACTAAGCAGGATGCTCAACTCTGAGGATGTTAATACAGTTGAAAGACTCTCCTTGCAAGCAAGGATCTCGGAATTTAGAGGAAGAGACAAATAAACAGTTGGATGATACAATGAAAAGCATAGAAACAAGGCGACAGGGGGTCCCCAGCTCCAGAACTGGATTAGCCCCTTTTCTCCTTTCTCAAGGTAGCTATTTCTTAGAGGAGTAAATTTCCACTGGCTGGAGTGGAGATAACTAGGGAATTGGTCCTGAAGTTGTATTTACACAGAAAGCACCCCAGGCCCCCAAGGCATCTGCCTCTGAAGATAGGAAACTGAGAGCACAATAATCCAGGAATGAAAAATAGATAAAAATTGCAGTAATAGAAAGAAAATTACTTCTATAAGAAATAGCTACCTTGAGAAAGGAGAAAAAGGACTAATATGTATTAAATGTCTGAAATATGCTAGGCACTTGTCTTAGCCCCTAACCTACATTCTCTAACTTAATCCCCCAAAGGTTTTCCATGGTAGATATTATTTTTGCCATTATTTTATGGAGAAAAGGCAGAGACACTTGTGTTGCAGAATTTCTTACCTGTGTCTTTTTTCTTATCCCGGGACAGCTCATGGACCGTGGCGCCGATGTCCTGCCTCAGGATCCTGATGATGTCTGCCAAAACAGGTGTGCTCTGCTTATCCAGATAGGTGAAAAACTCATACTCATCTTTCTTTGAAAGTGAAGGTCTGGATTCGATGTGGGTCAGGTTTATGTCATTCTCCTAGAAGAGAGAATTGGGAGTGTGACGGGCACAGTTATTGGAATGAACACAGACCAAACACACAAAACCAGAACAAAACGAACAGCACGATGAATGCAGAGTGATGAAGAATGAGATTTTTTTTTTTTTAAATAAGAGTAGAAGTCCTCAAAGTTGTGAAAGTTGTTTACTTTTTCTCCCACAAAACCAAGTAATAAATGGCAAGAGGTGGGGGAAACAGTGCAAATGCCACAGAATTTAACCACATGGAAATCTGCTGAAGGCCTGGAGTTGCAAATGTAAGATTTTGGTTTGGTTCAAATGTCCAGGACAGTGATTGCCAAAAACGTCCATGTAGGAACACCTCCTTTCCCAAATGAAATTCCGTAGAATCTCAACAATACATCTCAGTAAAGAAATAATATAGCAACACTATTGTTCTGTTTGAATAAGATTCACAGTAGTCAGATTTCTTGGGTTTAAATCATAGTTCTTCATTATATTGGCTATGAGGCCTTGGACAATTTACTTCTATGCTTTCAATCCTCAGGTTCCCCACCTGTAATTTGGCAGTATTAATAAAAGCTGCTTCATAAATTTGTTGGGAATATTAGATGAGATGACACACACACACACACACTGTTAAATACATGGTAAAAATACATGGTAAAAAAAATTATCTAGTATTATTGCCATTCATATTTTTATATAATTATTTTTCATGCAAATTATGCAACAAATATATATGTATCAACTACCAGGTAGCTAGATCACTCTTCCAGGTGGTTGGGATACATTAACGAACAGAACATAATAAGGTACTTTCTTTTATAAAACTTACATTTTAAGTTGTGGGAGATGAGTAACAAACGAAAGACAACTGATTAATGTAGTATCTTATAATGATTATAATGATAAAGGCCAAGAGAAAAAAATACGAAACAGAACAGGTTTAAGGGGATGGGCAGTCATGGGGTGGGGTGGGGAGCAGACTGCAGTGTTACATGGGATGGACACGTGAGGCTTCACTGAGAAGGCTGCTTTTACTAATGTCACAGAAATAATAATCACTTATTATAGCTACTCAACTTCAGTGTCTTTAGTTGGTGATACTTCAGCTGTTTGGGGTTTTCTCATGAAAAAATAATTGTCATTTACTTAAACTGATCCTTAAATGTGCATGCTTGATAGCATCTGCTACTTTTTCAGAAAGTCTGATGTCACTGATGTACTTACTGTTCTTAGTGAAGAAAACCAAGGAGGGCCTCTACATTTTATTAAAATAAACAAATAATAGGGAGGGCTGACCTCAAACACTTAAATGAACAACTGTACCTGAAAACAATAATGTTTAATTCAGACAACTCTACAATTTCAAAAAATGAAATGCATCAACCTTGTAGTTCAAGAAGTGTATCATTTTTCCTTTATTGTTAACAGCATATGGTTGAAGAGAACATGGATACTTACAATAGTGATATGTTGTCACTTATCACTTTACAGTTTACAATTATTTTCTGTGACCTTCACAACAATCCTTTGAGGAGGTCAAGGGAGATATAAAAATTAAATTAGAGATGAAGGTGCTTTGCCAAGCAGGAGAGAATAGTCCATTTTTTCTTAACCTCAGAGTCATTGGTCTTCTAAACGCATTGCCTTTCCTGCCAGGGATATAGTGAGCATTCCATAAATATCAGCTTTTACTATTATTGTTACAATTCCATGCACAAAAAGTGAAAACCTCTGGGTATAGTAAACACAATAATAAGTAGCCCCACTCAGACACCCTTAGTGCTCTTTCTTCCTCATAATCCCCAAAGCATGTGATGGACCTTTATTTATGAGCACCAGCTGCAAAGGACAGACCCTTAACAGTGGTGGCCCAGGTCACCCCATGTGAGGGCCCCATTACAGAGAGAGAATGCTGGGAGGGAAGGATAAAGAGATAGCAGTTGCTCTGAAACTCTCTAAGTAAACAGAGGTAACTTCCTAAACAGAGCAAAGAGCAATGTCATTCTTCTTGGCTCAGGAAGAAAGTGAGTAGGTAAGCTCCCCATGCTATTTACCTAAGTTGAAACTTCAAAAGAAGAGCTAACTAATTCCTACCTTGCATAGAGCAGAGAATACAGTAAAGCCAAGAGCCAAGAGTGGACACACCACTGGCGTGTTTATTTGCAAAGAGTATGGGAAGGTTGGTAGTATAGGGGGTGGGTAAGAGTGTAGGGAGGAAGATGGGCTGGAAGGCAGATTATAGGCCGTTAGTGTTCACCACCCACATCCCACCCCTCAAAATATCACTGCCAAAGAGATGCTTCTCACTTTGGGAAGAACCATAAATCAATTCATGCCCAATGACTCAGTTTTTATAATTCTGGAGACCTTATTTATGGGGAAAAATTTCACCAAAATTTGTCAAGTAACTAAATTCCCATAACAGGGGAATGGTTAGGTAGGCTATAGTGTAATCACTTAGTGGAGATTATGCAACTATTAAAAAGCAAGTAACACCAACAAAGAAAACAATGATACATCACATTCACAAAACAAAGGATAAAAGTCATATGATCACTTCAATAGGTGCAGAAAAAGCATTTGATAAAATTCAACATCCATTTGTGATAAAAACTCTCAATGAAGTGGGTATACAAAGAATACACCTCAACATAATAAAGACCATATATGACAAATCCACAGCTAACATCATATTCAGTGGTGAAAACTGAAAGCTTCTCCTCTAAAATCAAGAACAAGACAAGGATGCCCACTGTTGCAACTTTTATTCAACCCAGTATTGAGGTCCTAGCCACAGCAATTAGAAAATAAAAATAAATAAAAGGCATCTAAATTGGAAAGGAAGAAGTAAAACTGTCACTATTTGCAGATGACATGACACTATATAGAGAAAACTGTACAGACTTCGCCAAAAACCTATTAGACTAATAAATAAATTCAGCAAAGTTGCAGGATGGATAGAGGTATGTGATAATTTAAACATATTTTTAAACTTTATGCCCAAGCCAAAAAATAGACTAGGGTGAAAGGCATCAAAATAGTTATGATGAGATTATGTAGAACTTCCATTTATTTGTCAAAAGCCTTATAATATTACCTATTTAATGGAAAGAAAAATCTGTCTTTTACATGTGAGTGAAGGTTCTGGCTAAGAACACTCAGCCAACTTCTTCAAACTACTTTTTTCCCATTTGGACCAATGTATTAATAATTAACCTAGGTTAGCATGCAATTTCCTTATCAAAGTTTTTCCAGTTTATCCATGTAGCTCCTTGGACACCAAAAAAGAGGCTTTAGAAACAAAGCTCCAAATCTGATTATGATCATAGCCACGTTTTAGTAAATGGACTTTTATTTTTAAACAAGGGCTCTGTGTAGGTTTACAAACCGGCCCATACACACTCACCGGATCTGTGGGTAAGGAATAAAGGAAGAACTTTTTCGGTTACTTCACATGGACATCTGGGCAGAGGCCAGAAAGGTTTAGAGTTAAACATTTCAAAGACAATTTCATAATTGGCCCACTAGTTAATTTATGCACAAAAGATAGTGTAATACATTGATTAATCAAAACTCTTAAGAGAAGAGTGTGGGGACCAGAAAACAGCCAAGTGAAGTGAAAAATCTAAATTAATAAGGATTGACCAGAGCCTCTTTCTGGTCCCATTCTTGAGGAAAAAGTTTCTAAATAAAACTATAGATACACAGAATTCACAATGGTGAAAAACACGTTTGACCTTCTAGATCTTTTCTTGACCTAAAGCTTAGGGTTCTGCCCTCTCCTCCGTTTTATTCCTTGAGAAAAGGAGATGGTATGGTGAAAAGAATGTGGGTTTTGGAATTAATCTGAATTCAAATTCTGGTACTGCTGCTCACTGCCTTTGGTTACATTAGTTGGTCATTCTGAACTTTGGTTTGTGCATGTTTGAGATAAAGATAATATGACCTGGCAGCTTAGTGAGCAGAAGAGGAAAAGCACCTCACACGATTTTGGTTTCATTGGCAGATACTCAGTAAGAACTTAATATATTCTGTTTCTTTCAACATGATACAGATACACATTTCCTTGGGAGGCAAAACACATGAAGTTTATAAGTTGCTTTACCCTTTTGCTCTGTTCCTTTCCTGAAAACATGTTTCAAAAAGGAGAAGAAAAAGCTGAGCATATTTTCAGACAAGACTAGATCGGAGCCTGGGCCAGTATATGCTGCTGTCTTAGGGAGAGCTCACATGAAGTTATATCCTGGCTTATTTCAGAGGTTTTTCAGGAGGCAACATGAAAGACACTCACAAAGAATGTCCAAATCACTGGTCTCCAGGGAACAGCGAAGAGCTTTTAAAAAGTCATCCAACTGAGCACCTTCTGTATGCCAAAAACTGTTCCAGGTGCTGGGGGAAGACAATAAACAAAGCAGGAAAACTCCCTGCCCTCCTGGAGTTTACCTTCTTGAAGGAGACAAACAGTAACTACAATAAATAAGTAGAATATACTTTCTTATTCTCGTGTTCCTCTTTCTACCTTTTTTTGCCACCAGAGTGATAAGAGCAAAAGGCCCTCTGACCTGCTCCTGTTCAGGCTACTGACGGGCAATCACAACTCCCAGGGCATCAATGTGTCATAGTAGTCTGTCTAAGTTTTCCCAATGTGAGATCAAACATCATAATGAAAGTTTTAAAAGTAGGCTCTGTGTTGCTATTTCTCTGATATGGCCAGCTCTGAACTGTTTAGCAGCCACAGTGCCAGCTTTCATTTTCAAGTTCTGTTCAATAAATAGGCCATCAAACCTGTGAAAAAAGGGTTAGTACCACGTGTATAAATAAACAATGGAAACATCCTAAATATCCACCGATAGGAAAGGAACAAAGTATAGTCACATGATGGAATATATAAAGGAGAAAATGTGTGAGCAAGATAGTTGGGCAAATCTCAAAAACCATGTTCACCACCCTCGCCACAAGAAAGAAAACTGCAGAAAAAGAGTTACAATATGATTCCAATTTTATGAAGCTTAAAAGTGAAAAATATGTCGTATTTCACTAATGGATATCTATACATCAAATTATGAACAGATGCATGGGAATAACACATATCAAATTTGGATTAGTAACTGCCTCTGAGGAGGGAATGCGGGGGGAGAAAGTACACAGACTTGAGTCATTTATACAATGTTTTATTTAGACTGAGTTTCATGGTATTCTTTATATCATTATCTCTATTTTAAACCTCAAGGTGTAAATAAAATGAAAAAGTCATTTGGGTTTTAAGAACTTTTTCTCCTCCATGAAACTCAAAGCTCTTCTTATTTTAATTGAAGGAAAAGTAGTCTCTGTAAACATTTCACTGCTCATAGCTGCTGTGGACCTAAGGCCAGAGGGATCAAAGCAGCCCTCGTGATTGACTCATGATCCTGCCCTGTTCACCAGGCCCAGGGGTCACAAGCGAGGCCTTACAGTCCAAACTACAGAGTAATAAACATCTTGTATTTGTCTGGATATCCCCTCTGCAAGGCAGTGTCTGTCCCCAGGAATGCTGAGATTGGAAGATGGTCAAGAACTTGAAGATTCCATGACCTGACCACTTTTTTATTCTCTCACTTCAAGATCATGGATGGTGGGAATATGGGTAGTTATTTTCGTGTACTTTGACACATTTTCTAATTTAAAAGAAAGAAAGAATACCTGGTGACAGACGCCACCCCCCCCAGAGAAGGGCCTTTGTGGGCAGGAGATAACCATTTTTTATCAAACTCCAGAACTGATTCAGATGTGTAGGGACAGTTGTATTTGGCAGAGGTGTAGGGTGTCAGAAAGAACTGGTGGGCTTTGGAACCCATGATCCCAGGTTCAGTCCCATCTCCACCAAGCATTAACTGTGTGATCTTGACCAAATTACTCAGCCTCTCAGAACCTCAGTTCCCACATGCATAAAATGGAGTAATACTTTCTCCACCAAGTCGAATGATGATCAGATCAGATATCATCACATGATATAGTTCCACACACACTGGAATTTGATATTCTCCTTTCTGTAGGCATTTTGAATGATTATATCATAACTCTGCATTTTTTCCAGCCTGTTAAGAAGCAGGGAAGGTGAGCTGGCCTGTTACAATTTCTAGAGTAATTTCTGAAATACCTTTGGAAAAAAAAATTAATACAACAACCCTTCACCAATCACCCAGGAAAGTTACCTCTGTTTTCTCCTCTGTAAAATAGGTATAATAACACCACTATTGACCAGGGCAGTTGAGATTTGGGATAATGCTTTAAAAAGTTCACCCAGAGTATACACACATGAATGCACACACACACACACACACACACACACACACACACACACTGAATGCATTTCATCCAGTTCTGGTAATTAAGTTACTTGTGGTTTATTTATTAGATTGAAAACATCCTGTTAATTTACTATTTTTTCACTTTATTAACTCTGACTAAGACCTAACCTCTCAAGGGGAAATGTGGATTAACTGTCTAATATAAAAGCTAACATGTTACAGAGCATGTTACAGATATGTTCTTTCTCATGATCAGTTTGTCATTCAGAGAGTACTCAGTCTTCTCTGCACTCATTGCTTGCTCTCACTCAGACATGCCTGTCTCCCATACCACCCCCTTTCAGATAGCCAAGTTTAATTTTTTTTTAAATAGACTCTAATTTTTTTAGAACAATTTTAGGTTTACAGAAGAATTGAGAGGATAGGACAGAGGATGCCCAATACTCTATTTCCCCTCTTATCAACATCTCATATTAGTGTGAAACGTGTTATAATAATGAGCCATTCTGGTGCATGGCCATAACTGAAAGACCATGTTTTACCTAAACTTTCTCTGTATCTAACACCTTTTCTCTGTCCTAGGATCACATTCAAGACAACATATCGCCTTTAGTGGTCTTGTCTCTTTAGGCTCCTGTTGGCTGTGACAGTTTCTCAGATATCCCCTGTTTTTGATGGCCTTAACAGCTCTGGGGAGTATGGGTGGGGTATTTTGTAGAATGTCCCTTCCCTGCGATTCGTCTGCTCCTTGCCATGACTAGCCTAGGTCTCGGGAGGGAGACCACAGCGGTGAAGGGTCATTCTCACCATGCCCTATCAAGGTCCATGAACTGTCACTGTTGATGTTGACCATGATCACCTGGATAAGCTACTGTTTGTTCAGTTTTCCCACTGAAAAGTTCCTCTCCCCCCCTGCTTTTCCACACTGTCCTTGATGGAGGATGCTCTGTGAGGCTCACACATAAGGAGTTATGCACTTCTTTCTTGAGCAAAGAGTACCTACTTAAATTATTTGGGAGATTTGCCTCTTCTCCATTTATTTATGTACTCAGTCACCAGATAAAATTTTATTGAAGAACACTGGGTAAAAATTAACTGTCTCAAACACATTTTTTCTGAAAAACCAGGACAAAAGAGTAAAAAAAAGTTTAATTTCCTTTGCTTGTATTTAAATGTAATTTCATTCTTAATTGAACATTTTGTATATGCAATACTGAGTCTGTAAAGATATAAAGATGGCTAAGCCAAGATTCCCTGCCTGAGGAAACTATCCTCAGGCCCAGACAGAGATGTATACACTGAACAAGGCACACCAGTGCTGTGATAAAACATAAGAAGAACTTTGGGAATACCAAGGAGATAGTTATTAGTTTGAGGAAGGCTTGATAAAAGAGGTCTGGGGCCAGGGCTATCTTCCTGGGTGTGCAACCAGTCATTCTGAATGATTCTAATTACATATGGAGAAACTAAAGCTCAGAGAGAATGAAAGACTTAACTAAGGCCACACAGTTGGTTACTGAAGAGCCTGAGGTGAAAATCTAAGTCTTCCAGACTTGATCCAGACTTCACTGCACCTAACCAGAAAATAACACAGAAGTCTGCTATGAAATCGCCCAAGGCAGAAATGCATAAAGTACTTACCTCAAATAAGCGCAAGACTTTGGCCAGAGCACCAATTTCCTCTTTAAGTGAGAAGATCAGTGATATGACACCGTTTTGATTGGAGTTGTCTTCGATATAGCTGGTTTCCTACAGGATTAAATGTACTTGGTTAAAATGTTCTCCACAGTTTGTGACTCATTCCTATGAACCTCCAAGGAAAAGTTCAGCATGAACTTTCTCTTCTACTTAAGTCTTTTGGAATAAAATGAGCTACATTTGTTAATTGATGTCACTAATCACCCTATAAATTCAATTTCTTTTAACAAGTACCTACCCAGTACCAGGCATTATCGGGGCTCTGCAAGGTACAAAGATGAAAAAGACAAGGCCCTATCCTTCAGCTCAAAATGTGGCTTAATAGACACATCCACACCAAATCAGGTTACTATAAAAGAGTCTTAGAGGTGGTATAATATAGTTCAAAAAGTATCTGAGGAAAACACTGAGAAATACAAAGTGGAAAGAATTTTTATCATTGAGCAAAATCCATTTAACGACAGAAATAGATTGTCTTGTTGTGCCTAACAAATATATTCTATTACCTTTGGAAAAGAGCAGTTTTCAAAGCAAGAGTATTCTTTGGCAAGAATGTTACAAGGGCACTGACTTTGAATCTTAGTGCTTTTGGGAGTCATTGTTGGAGGTGTGTGATTATACACACATGCATCTATTATACACAGATGTAAGACATCTGAAAACGAGATGCAGACACCCTGCCATGAATACACTATACCTCTGTAGTCCAGCAATTATCTGCAGGAGGATGCAGTGTGGTAGGGGAGAGTGCAAGGTGTTGGAATCAGAGCTGGGTTTGAGCACTGGCTTCACCATTCAGAGTTGTGATTTCTGAGTTCCCCTTATCTTCAACTCCCTTGCCCTGTTCTATTTTCCTTCACAGCACTTATCTCTATACACAATTATACGTTCTTTCAGTTAATCTTTGTATTGTTTGTCTCCTTCACTGGGGCAGACACTCTGCCATATCCAGCATAAAGTAGGTGCTAAAGAAGTCTACTGAGTGAATGAATGAACCAAACGCCCTTGTTGCACGTGTGGAGCACTTGCCGAATCATATACCTTCAGGCTTTTATCAGAATGACTTCCAGCATGTGCTGTTCATCTGGGTTGGGAGCTTCAAAAAGGCATAAACTCTGTTTTGCTGACTGTCAGAGATAGAAAGGATCCCAAAGACTGTTCTAGTTTGACACCCCCCACTCTAGGTTTATAGACACCAGAGCAAGCCTGTTCACCCAGTTAGATGACATCCCCAACACGCAGCCTCAGTAACCCCGACAAGAGCCCACATCTCCCGACTCCATGCCCAGCATCTCTCCATGGAGAAGTTATACCAGCCATTGTGCTTGATTCAGTGCTTCTCCCTCCTGCCAAAGTTCCAGACACATTTGGTTGAACAGACAAAGCAGTTCTGGCTGCAACTGGCACTTTCCCATGCTCCAGAAATTGTGCTAAGAGCTTTATAGATATTATTTCATTTAACCTTCATATCAATCCAAGGACATGGGTATTTTTATTCCAATTTTTCACATGCATAAATTTTTGGCTCTGTAAAGTTAAATACTGTGCTTTTGAGGCAGAGTGTTTACCAGGGCATGATCTAAACCCTCCTCTTTGCCCCTAGACAATTTGTGGTTCTTAATCTTGTAAGTGCTCTGGGAATAAGGCTTTTAGCTCCCACAGTTCCCTAACCAGATCACTGCCCTTAACCTCTTCCCATGGTTGTGGCGGCCCCTCCCACTGCCAGCCACACAGAAACTAATGATGATAGGGCCAGGAGCTGTTCTGGGATCTGACGCCCACGCTGTCCCTCTCCAACACAAAGTTCTGTCTCCCAAGCACCTCATACCATTTCCAAAGAAAGTCTTTCCCTCAGGACTCAGGAAAATTCAGTCCAAAGTTTTGCAGTCTCTCTGGTTATGCTGAGACATCCACAATCCTCTCTTCTTCAGTCACCCTGTTCTCTCGATTGTTCTCACCAATCCTACAGATGACAGATGCCTGCAGACTCTATCTCTCTGGGCTGGGCTTAATGTCAGAACCCTGGAGTCTATTAAACACTATTAAACGTGCCAATTAAACACTGTATTCTGAAATTGCTCACCTAAGAAATGCAGCAAATCTTACAGAATGGAATACGTGCCAGGCATTATCCCAAGTCACGTTTAGGTTTCTCTCATATTCCAAGTCCAGAGCTAGATCTTGTTCATTTTCTCCTCTGTTTAATTTTCTCCTTCCCCAGCTGAGTAGGTCTGAGACCTCTCCATGCCTCATTTTCTCCCAAAGGTGAAAAAAGGATATAATTTCTCACAAGTTTTCTATTTTGATACCTGGCAGACAGCACGTTAGAAACATTATGGAAGAGAAGATCTAGAAGGGCCCCCACATCCCATTTCAGATCGTTCAAGACCAGCTCCTTCAGTACACAGAAGAGGAAAAAGGCAACAGAGAAGAACAGCGATTTGTCCAAACACACACAGCTACTTCGTGGCAGCTCTAGAGGCCAGATCCCCAACTCCTAAGGCAGTTTCCTCTCCCTGAAAGCCACACAGGGTGGATGCTCTTCCACTGGGAAACAATTGTTGAGGACATGTGTTATCTGTGGAATTCCTGGACATGGTCATTGTGTTCAAATGAATTCAGAATTAGTGGCGAGCTTATGGGAGTGGGGAGCCCAGACATTCCCCAGACTTTTTTCCCCTGGAGGCCAAGATCCCCTCCCTGCGCCGCCAAGGGCTGCCCTAGCTCACCTGTCCATCGTCGGAGAATTTCCTGCCCAAGCCTCCGGTCTCCAGGACCTCGGCAGACATGCTGGCGCGGCGAGTGGGGTCTCTAATTCTAGGGCAGCCGCAGGCAGGTTCGCAAGCAACGCGTGTGCTGAGGTTTTTAACCTGGCGTCAGGGAGGAGGGGAGAGGTTCCAAGGGTGTCCCCGCTGGCAATGGCCAAACCACCGCCCCCGGTGGGCGTTGTCCTGACGCAGGGGCTCCGGGACAGCGGGCCAGGGCCGCCCGAGGGGAGGAGACGGGGCAGCGGGCCCGGGAGGCGCCCCTTGGGTGCCCGCCCTGGACGGAGGAAGGAGCCGCGCGAGCGCAGGGCCACCTGTGCGCCAGCGAGCAGACGCGATTGACATTTTCGCCACCCTCAGCGCTTGGGAAGCGGGTCCCTGCAGCGGGAGCAAACCCGCGACGGTTCCGATCACACAATTATAAAAAAAAAACATCTTTTTTTCCTCTCCCTGCCTCCCCATGGAAGCAGAGCCAGCCAGGATCCTAATTTAGATTGAGGCGTGATGGGGTGTGGGGGTCCTTTCTATTAACCACCGAGCAAACTGCTTTTCTGTGCTTTGACTCCAGAACATTGCAAATCGGTGACATTGGGAACGCTGAGCACAGCTGTGTAAGAGCCGAGGTGGGAGCTCGTCCTGGGATAAAATCCAACTGTGTGTCCTCAAAATATTTACATTAACTGCCGAGAGCGCCCAAAAGGGGGTTGTGAAGCCACCTTGCTGGGAGGTTTTAAGAATATGAAATAGAATAGAAACGAGTAATGCATTAAACATTTAGTACAGTTCTTGCCACATAAACACTCAATAAACAGAAGACACTGTTTAAACTCTGGGAAAACCCATGATCATGGAGGACTGCTGTGTGCCCCTGGGATTCCAGGCACTGGGGACATGGCAGTGAACGGAGCTAGAGGGCCCTGCTTCCCCCATCAGGCTGCCGTTCTGGGAGGCAGGCAGAAAATAAACAAACAAGCTTTCTGAGGAAAATGAAACATGGAATGGGCTAGGAGCTGGCTGCTCAGTGTTGGAGAGTGGACACTTTCAAGTAGGCAGTCATTCACCACATTTTTTTCAGATCAGGAAACTGAAATGAAGCATACACTGCCAGGCAGGAAAAACAAAGTATAAAAGAACCTGTCAAAAGCAATGCCAGAGGTTCGGAAATGATGTGAAAAAATCAAGGACATCAAGGCCTTGAGTATCTGCCTAATATTTACACGGGAGAAGGTGATAGGCTGAGAGAAAACAAGCCAATAACAGAGGTTGCTAGCAATCCACCTCCCACACCACCACCCCCATGGTTCTTTGACGGAATGACCAGGCATCTGCCAAAAAAGGAAGAAAAAAAAATCTCTATTTGGAATTCAAAACAAATGCATTCCTGGTTCCACCACTGATTAGCTAAGTAGTTTTGGGCAAGTCCATGCCTCAGTTTCTTTGCCTTGAAAGTGGACGTTTTAAGGGTTGTTGTTTAGGATTCCCTGAGCTTCTGGGCTGCACAAGGCTTTCTACTGGTTGCTAAGAATAGAGACATAATTAAGTATAATTTCTGTCCAAAAGGAGTCTTTGGGTGTCTGATGTTTCCCACAGTAAATCGGAATATCAGTGTTGGATATGGAAGGGCAAACCTTGACTTCCACCATCAAGAAAATATATAACCTTTATCTGACTCCAGCACTTGTCTAGTGTAAAATGAGGAGTTTTCCTCAGCTCTGTGGTGGCCTTACAAGCATCACTTCATCCCCTCAGGCTGGCCTACTAAGGAGGCACCTGCATTATATCAAGATGCAGTAAATAAAAGTCAATGGTAACAGCCTGTTATTACCTGCACACAGTATGTTAGACCCTTGCATCAAGCTCTCCACATGCGTGATTTCATTTCTCTGCTCAACAAACTCAAGACCAAGAATGCTATACATTCCCACTTCATAGGTAAAGAAACTGAGACCCAGAAAATATAAATAAGTAGTCCAGGGCCAAACCATGCTTCACCCAGCTCCAAGGCACCAGCTCTTAAACTCTGGTGGTTTTCCTTTTTGAAATAATAACAACAGTGATTTTTAGGACAACAAAATAATAGCACTTATCTTTTCTCCTCACACCAGCTAAAATGGAATTCTTTATCTCATCTCACAGAAAAAGGCCCCAGAAGACCTGAATTGGAAGAAGAGCACAGTTAATTGTCTGCTACTTCAGAGAAAAACACTACCTTTTTTAAAAAAATTATTCTGCCAAAAAGGGAAAAGTTTCTGTGCACTAAGACTCACTTGAGATGCAATTGCTGTGACATGAATTTTGCAGATGATTTTAAAACTATGTTCTTGCTCAGTTTGGTTGGGACACAATGTATTGCCGTTACTAACAAGGGCAGTGCTGAGTCCTAAGAAGATTCCACTGGGTTGTGCAAATCTAGAAGGTGCTTCCACAAACTCAACCCACAGACCCTGAGACACTGGGGATGGCCAGACAGAGGTGGGTACCATATTGAAAGCTGTGCAGCTGTGTCGCTGGTAAACTTCAAGCTGACCTTCACTGGTTTGGAGGTTGAAGATTTCCCAACCACTGCAGGTTATCAATCCCTTTTCATTTAACCTCCTAGGAAGAGGGTAGAGTTAATCATAATCTGTGAGTTCATGGCACATAATCAAACTTCCAAGGGCCCTCTCTTGTTTTATTTATTCACTCTCCCTTATCTTCATTCCCTACTCCCATTCCCTTCCCTGAGAGGCAACATTCCCAATATGTTTAATATTTAACTTTTGGGTTTCTTTTAGTGTATGGAAACATGGGAGTGTATATGTGTTTCCATTGGATATGAGTGATATCCTCATAGAGTTTTACTATAGAATGCACACTACTATAAATTCCAAAGTCTCTAGCTTTTCTCTTTTACCAGATTCTTAGAATCAACCATGCTGCTGGATGCACATGTAGTTCTTTGCTTCTCTAGCTGGTGGAGAGCATGCCGCAGTGTGTATCCATGATATCTGACTTCTCCATTCCCCAGTGATGGACACTTTGGCTGTTTCTAACTTTCGACCGCTCTGAACAATGCTCCATAAATATCTTCATTCTTGTCCCCTTACAGACCTGTGTGAGAGTTCCTCTGGACTAGAGGATGGGGTCCTAAATCATAGGGAATATGTATTTTTAATTGCACAAACTACTTCCAGATTGCCCTCTAGAACCGCTTATACTAGTCCACACTCTCACCAGCCAGGAAAAGAGCTCCTGTTGCCAGTATCCCCAATACCTGGCCTTTCCAAATGTCAGATACTCTGTCAATCCCATCAGTTTGAAGAGATAGGTCTTTGCTGTTTTTATTTTGTGTTTCTCTTACATCACAAGAGTAAGAACATTTCTTTATACACTCACGCCACTTAGATTTCCCATGCTGTGAAAGGTTCATTCGTATATCCTTCACCTGTTTTTCTATTAGGATTGTTCTCTTTCTATGTTGACTTGCAGGAATCATTTGTGTGGTCTATATATTAGCCCTGTTCCTTTCTCAGTCCTGAAGAAACTATTTCCTAATCTATCACTGTCAGTTAACTGTCAACTGGTGTCCCTCCTTGAGAAAAAAATAATAATTCTGATATAATAAAAATACATCTTTAAAAAAACTTTGTATTTTATGCTCTTGGGATCCTGTATAAGAATTCCTTCCTCATCCTTAAAAACTACAAGGATATTCTCTTCTGTCATCGTTAGTTTTATCTTCCACATTTAGATCTTTAACTTTTGACTGTATCTCTTTGTCCATGAGATAGGTAATGACCCATTTGCTGTCATGCTAGATCTAGATTAATTATGAATACAGCCAAAATTTCTCCATTAGTATTATGCTTGATGTAGGTTTTTGATATTGTAACTACCACCAAATTTATGAAATCCTCTCTGCCCCTAGTTTGGTGAGGTTGGTTTGTTTTTATCATGAAGTGTGGAATTTATTAAGTTTCTTTTCTGAATCTACTGAGAAAATTCTGTGATAGATTCCTTTCAGTCTATTAGTGTGGCACATTATATGGGTACATTCTTTAGATGTTAAGCTTCTCTTACATATGAGGATAAACCTTCCTTGTTTATGATATATTAATTTTATACAATATTAGCTATGGTTAAGCTTTAATTTTATGTAGGATTTTTTCATCTATGTTAATTAGAAAAATGGAACTGCCATTTTATTACTTGTACTATCATTATCTTATTTTGAAATCAGAATTACAGAACGCTCACACAGGAGTTGGACAAAATCCCCTGTTTTTATAATTTCTGGAACAACCTATAGAAAATAACAGTTCTTTGTTTCTTGAAAATTTTGTAGGACCTCTTGTAAATACACTGGACCTGAAATTTTGGGGTGCAGGAAAAATAGCAGATTATAATTCAGTTTATTTAACCATTATTGGCCTATTTATGTTTTCTATTTCATCTTTTTTTATCTTCTCCCAGAAATTAAATCAGTCTGTCAAGGTGTCAACGAAACTAACATATTACTGTTCATAACATTCTTTTCTTATTTTTTAAAGTCCTATTGTGTCTGTATTTATTTTCTCTTTTTAGTTCCATGTTTTGTTTATTTGTATATTCTCTCATCTTGCCAGATGTTTGTCCATTAAGAATCAGCATTCATAAGACTGGTCTCTAATGTTAGTATTGTTTTCTATGTCATTGTTTCACCCCACTTTTCTTTATTATTTCCTTATTTAAGTTTGTTTTGTTCCTCTTCTCCCAACTTCATAAGTTGAACACCTAGCTCATTTGATTTCAACTTTCTTTGTTTCCTGATAAATGCATATAAATGAAATATTTCTAAGTACTTTTAACACTATTTTGTCTGTGTCTCATTAATTTGATAGTTAGTGTTTGTACTATTGTTCAGTACTAAATTTTGAATATCATTTTCTCAATAAATCAAGAATTATTAGGGACATATTATTTACATTCAAGGTACTTGGGATATTTTTACCTTTCCTTTTTAAATTTTCTAACTGTATTACATCATGGTTAAAGAGTCTAGTCTTCATGGTTTTGATTCTTTGGAGTTTATTGAAGCTTTCTTTGTGATCAAGCATTTTATATGTGTGTGTTTGGATGTTTTAACATTTTTATTTCAGAAATTAATAGAG